ATCCCAGGATATTGGGGGGAATTGAGGAAATCCAGGTAAAGTGGGAACTCCTGTTAATAATAACAATCTGTGTTGATCTGTTAATTGTGATAAATGCACATGGTCAGGTAAGATGCTAGCAGCAGGCAGAGCTCTGTGCGCTGTCAGCTCAGTTTCTCTGCAAATCTAAACCTGTTCTGACTTAGTTTTCTAGGGCTGCTGGTGGAAATTGGGGGGCTGAAAGCAACAGATGTTTCTTCTCTCCAGTTCCAGGTGCCATAGGGCCGAGATCAAGCAAGGAAAGCTGTGTGGCCAGAGGTGGGGACTTGAGCCACGTGGTCACCAACCAAGAAAAGCCAGCTGCTACCCCCATGCCACAGGGATGGGGAGCTGCCATCCTCACTGCTGCCTGCTGCTCCTGAGGTGCCCCACCCTCCCCAGCAGGACTGTCCCCAGGGCTCCCAGCCTTCACCCCCACTCCTCCACCCCCCTCCAGGAACAGCTGGGTCTTGTGGCTTGAATGTGCCTTAAAACACCTCAGCAGGTGGTGGAGGAAACACACCCCTGCTTCTGTATGCACCTGACATTTCCACAATGAGATGGCAAATAAAAGATTTCACTGGGCCGGGGATGATTTAGCTCAGTGGTTTCGCTGCCTGCTGTGCATGCGCAAGGACCCGAGTTTGATCCCCGGTACCAAAAAAAAAAAAAAAGATTTCACTTACAGCTGGGCATGGTGGCACACACCTATGATACCAGCACTCTGGAGGCTGAGGCAGGAGGATCACCTGAGGTGGAGGCCAGCCAGGGCTCCATAGTGCGTTCAAGGCCAGCCTGAACTGCATAGTAAGACCCTGCCTCAAAGAAAACAAAACAAAATATTTCACTGATGGCCTATTCATTCTTTTTTTCCCCCCTTCTCCTTGCTACTTTCATTTCTCTATTGTGGATGCTTTTGTAGTTAAGAGTCATTTAGCATTTAATTCTAGTGATTTTTTGGGCTTTCATTAATATTTTTGCTCGCGGCCAAAGTTAATGTTTCATATTTCCTACATGCTTTACATTCCTTGGCAACCCTGCCCCACTGTTGGCCAAGTGAGAAGTGCCTAAGAAATCTCTGTTCACTGGTGTTTTTTAAAAATGATGTTTTTTTTTGAGCTGGGGATTCAATCTAGGACCTCGTGCCTGCTAATCATGCACAATGCACTGAGCTAAACCCCATGCCTAAGTTAATGGCTTTATTCTAATGCGATATTTGAAAATATGCAACTGTTTTAAAAGTAGCTCTAGCTAAGACCCCCCATTTACTAGTGATCTAAAGAACTAGGTGCTAGTATGTGTTTATGTAAATATATTATAATGGGTTATATGTATGTTCACTACTTATTTAGCTGTTTTGGTTGCCAGAAAGGAAAGTTGGCCCATCTCAATTACTTAAAGAGGTCTTTCAAAAGCTGGGTATGGTGGCATATGCCTGGAATCCCAGTACCTGGGAAGCTGAGGCAGGAGGATTGCTTTGAGTTTGAGGTCAGTGAGTTCAGGGCCAGCCGGAACTACATAGCAAGATCCTGTATCAAACAAACAAACAAATCCTCACAAAAAACCACCCTCCCAAGAAACCCAAGGCTTCACTGCTGTATATGTATCATACACACATGACTTTTCAAGAGATGGCATCTTCCTATGTTGCCCAGGCTGGCCTTGAACTCACGGCAATCCTCCTGCCTCAGCCTCCTGAGTGCTAAATCCTTGTCTTAAATTGGGGAGATGTGCAGGGGGTGGTGTTGGGATGGTTCAGCATTCTGTTTTTATTTTTTGGCGCTGGGACTGCAACTCAAGGCCTGATGCATGCTAAGCACTCGCTCTACCATCTTGTCTTTGAGAAAAAAAATACCACTCTGAGGTAGGCACACTGGTGCACACCTGTGATCCCAGCACTTGGGAAGCTGAGGCAGGAGGATTGAAAGTTTGAGCTCAGCCTTGGCAACTGAGAAGACTTAGTGAGATGCTGCCTTGAAGTAAAAAATATAAAAAGGGCTGGGGATGTAGCTCAGGGCAAAGGCCCTGAGTTCAAGCTCTAGCCACGCCCCCCATGCAGATTATCTATTGATAAAAATCTCTGAAAGTTAAGTGTTTTATTCATCAATGAACTCATTCACTGTAGACAAAGCCAAAGCAGAACTTCCTTTAGTTCATCCCTCTCTTCTCTCTCAAAGGAAATGAACAGCAGGTTTGCAGCCAGTGCGCCCCGGGGTGCTGGGACACCTTGGGTCACTTGGACAGGTGTCTCCTGTGCAACGAAGCTGAGTGGCTAAGGAGCAGAAAGCGGCAGAGCAAGCACGCCTCGGCCTTCCAAAAGGACCAAGGACAGTCCGGGACAAACAGATTCTACCTTTACCAATTCCCCCAAGTTGTGAGTTCTCAGGAGGCGGCCGACACCTCCAGGGGTCCACAGCGAACTCAACCTGAGGGGGGGGTGCAGCTGATAAATAGGTTCTCCATCACAAGGTCCTGACTCGAGACTGTCTTGTGATAATGTGACAAGCACGATAAGGAACATCTAGGTGCCATGGCAATGTGCTCAACTATAAAACCCCAAGAATGTTGGTTAAGGGATTTATGTCTGGCCAGGTGTGGTGGCACATGCATGAAATCCCAGCACTCAGGAGGCTGAGGCAGGAGGATTGCTGCCAGTTCGAGCCTACCTTGGGCTACACAGGGAGTTCAAGGCCAGCCTAAACTACATAGCTAGACCCTGTCTCAAAAACAAATGAGCAGGGCCCGGGATTTAGCTCAGTGGTGCTGCTGCCTGCCTTGCAAGCACAAGGTCCTGAGTTTGACCCCCGGTACCCAAAAATCCCCCCCAAAACAAATAAGCAAACAAACAAACAAAAAAAAAAGGGAAAGAAAGAAAACATGAAGTCCTACGCACACTGCACCTTCTTCCCATTGGTAACATTTCATAAAACTATAGAATCAAACCACAAAGTCGATACGGACACTGATACAACCCTCCAACTCAGCTTCACATGCAGTCATTTGCGTTTTTAGTTCTGTACAACTTAATCTGTGTTGATTCATTCACGCCACTTACAGACAAGATACACGGGAGCTGGGAGGTGGCTCACACCTGTAATCTCTGCACTCGGGGAGGCTGAGATTGGAGAATCTCGAGTTCCAGTTCCATCTGGGTAACTTAAACAAAAAGGACTGTATAAATAAATTAAAAGGCCTTAAAATACGAAAGGATGTAGCTCAGTAGTAGAGCTGGGTTCTGGCCCAGCTGCAAGGATGGGGGGGAAGATACACTTGGGGTTGACTCTGAGAAGCACACTTCTTAAGTCTCCATTTAAAAAGGAAAAAAAGGAGGGCGGGGATTTAGCTCAGGGGCACCGCTCCTGCCTTGCAAGTAAGGTCCTGAGTTCCATCCCCCTTATCAGAAAGAAAGAAAAAAACCCTCACTCTCCTGATTAGTGGCATTCTAAGACTGAAAGCTTAGAAGTTACTTAGCAGCAGTAACCACGAACCCAGAGCCGCGACGGGTGACCTCCGGGTTTGGACTCAATTCAGTTGGTTGAATGAAACACAAGAGATCAACCCAGAATGCAGACCCCAGAGGCATCCAGCCTGGGGGTGCCCCGACTCTCTGAGGCCAGCACTCTGTCTGCTCGTCTTGGCCATCTGGGGCACTGGCTAAAAGGCCCGATGGGAACTGCTTAGAGAAAATAAGTGCTCACCAGAGTCCAGCCACAAGGACGGCAATGGAAAAAAGTTTTGCAAAGTATGCAAATAACTATTGCTGTTTCTCCCCCCCCCCCCATTCTCCCCTCTCTTTTGGGTACTACGCACTCAGGTACCTCCTCAGCCCCTTTTTATTTTCAGAGTCTTGCTAAATCCCTAAGTTCCCCGGGCTGGTTTTGCACTTGGAATCCTCCTGCCTCAACCTCCCAGAGAGCTGAGATTAGAGAAGTGATACCACATTCAGCTTGATGCAGATCTTTCTAATGCAGGCTGGAGTTTAACGGACACTGAACGCTTTCATCAATTTCAGGCCGCCTTTGTAGGGGATGCAAACGTGGGCCAGACACGACGACTTCGTGGCACAGTTCTATGCAAAGGAAAAGCAAGAAAAAAACAAAAAGGCTTCCTGCGCTGACAACAAAAGAGCCGACCAGGTGCCATTCAGGACGCGGCCGGCGCCACTGCAGGGAATGTGTGGGAGGGTGCGGAGGCCCTCCGAGGAACAGGTCGCGCGTGGTCCCTGCCCAGGCCTCTCCGAGCAGCTCCCGAGGGACCCACGCTTCGGGACGAGCCCCGCGTGCCCCCTAGCAGGCTGCAGGCCGGCCGGGTCAGCGCAGGTGCGCGCCGAGGGCGCTCGGCCCGCAGTCCAGGGCCCCGGGGTGGGGCCGACCCGGGCGCCTCTGCCACGCTTCCGCCCTCACCTGGCGGCTGCCCGCCTCCCACAGCTCGCGGGGACAAAGGCAGGCGCCATGCGCTGGCACCCGAGAGGCCCGGCCCGGGTCGGCCCCGTGCGCGTACTTCCGCCGCTCACCTGTTGCGCCCGCGCCTCCGGGCATCGCCGCCTCGCCCTCCCCGACCCGCAGGTGGCGCCGATCGCCGAGCGCGCGCTCCACGCCATCCCCCTCAGTAGATCGGTTCACCAGAGTCGGCGCTTCTAGAGGCCACCCCAGCTCCGAGTCCGCGCCGGGCTCCCGCCCCGGGCCCCTCTCCTCCAGCCGGGGCGGATCCCGGTTCGCGTTCGCGGGCCCCCTGGAACCAGACCCCCACTCTCCAGCGGGGCTTGGAGCTCCAGAGAGCGTATCCCGCCCACAGCCCCCAACCCTGACCCTTAACCTCCGGCTGGGGCCGGAGCCCAGAGCGCGCCGCCCCGCCCC